CAGGCTAAAAATTAAACTTCAAAAAATCACAGTACACAGCAATAATACATTCAATGATTTAGCAAATAGTTTAGCTAAAAACCAGAATCATATAACTGATCTTGTATTCTTACACAACAATATTTATAATTCATCTTACTACTTACAATATACAACTTATGCATTCGAGCAACCAACTTGTAGATCTATCAAAAACATTTGTAATAGCTACATAATAGCATTATGGTCTTCATGAAAAACATTATACCTCTTGCAACACAAATTGATTAGAATGCCACCTGGCTTTATTTAAACAATAATTACAAAAAATCATCCTTCTATACCAACTTCAAACTCTGCCAAGAAAAAACCTTCAAAATCAAACTTATGTTTAATATACTACCCACATTATCAAAGCTACATACTCTATATCCTCAGCACTTCACAGACATTAACTGCATTTTATGTAACTCTCATGAAGGTCAAATGCATTGGCTTACATACCCAAGTGCACCCAATCTAAATACAATCATTACTAACATAATACAACAATTTTTGCAAGCCTTCAGACTTGATATATCATATATACAATGTCAAGAACTACAGAATAAACTTATCTACTATCCAAGTTTATCACTTAACCACTACACCAGAACTAATACAAATATATTCACAACTCTACAAGGGTTTATATCTATTATACTGATACAAACTATTAGAGAGTATACAGACTCTAATAAAACAGCAACAAATACTACAATTCAACTACTTCTACAACTATCTCAAAATATATACAACTTAATTTAGAAACTATACTGCACAAAGTTATTAAGCTGAAAGCAAAAACACAATATACCTACCCATATAAACAGAAATCGAACCAGTCGAAACACAACATCCACATTTAGTAATAATTCACAGTTAAGAATACCATACACCTACAGCTGTAGCTGTGGTTTATCTGACCAACAACACATAGACAATGAATGCCCACCCCTTGGAAAAGCAACTAAAAAAGCATATATATAGCTAACTTCTTAGATAAAATATAGCATACTCACTAACAATATTATAAATTATAGAATCTAGGTGAGTTTTTAACTACTCTAGTAGGTTTAGATTGCAGATAAATTAGATTTCAATATCTATAGTCTGAGTCTCATTCTTGTAAAAATATTTGTAATTATTGGTCTTATTGACCAGAGAATCCCCTGGTGGATTCTCAATATAAATTATTCAATAAAGATAAAGGCAAAACCTCATCTTAAAAAAAAAAATATATTATAATAGTATATTTAATTTTATCTTTCTTTATTTTTGAAGAGAAGATGCTTAATTTTGGAAATTTTGAAATTTTAATCAAAATTTTCAAAATTAAGCATCTTCTCTTAAAAAATAAAGAAAAATAAAATTAAATATACTATTATAATATAATTTTATGTTCAAAACAAATTTACTTATAACACTAAAGCATTATTCATTAGTAAAATTGTAAGTAATTTAGTATTTTTCATAATTTTACTAATAAAATTATGAAAAATACTAAATTACTCAAAATTTTACTAATTAATAATGCTTTAGTATCATAAGTAAACTTGTTCAGTATATAAAATATATTATAATAATATATTTAATTTTATCTTTCTTTATTTTTAAGAGAAGATGCTAATTTTGGAAATTTTGATCAAAATTTTTAAAATTTTCAAAATTAAGCATCTTTTCTTCAAAAATAAAGAAAAATAAAATTAAATACACCATTAAGATATATTTTTATATGCTAAACAAGTTTACTTATAATACTAAAGCACTATTAATTAGTAAAATTTTCAAATGTTATAAAATAACTCTATAGTGATCAGCACCAACGGTTACATAAACTATTTATTATTTATTACTGTATTAGATCGATCATTGCACATTACATAATTTTTTTATTTGTTACACAATAAAAGATTATTTCATTAATATTTATTTGCCTTTTACAGATGATTTTACAATTTTCTCTTGCACTATAGCATTTTATAGTATCGTTTGATCATGGTCTATTTTTACAATATAACTTTCGCTTTGGTCATTTTAACGTGTTGCTTTTGTAGTTTCGTTTTTACAGTACCATTTTTGTGGTGCCGTCTTCACCTTGTTACTTTTACCATATCGATTTTATTGTACTTTTACTGTATTGCTCACACTGTGCTTTTACCGTATCACTTTTACCGTAGTGTTTTTACTGTGTCGCTTTTACCGTGACACCTTTTATCATGTCATTTTTACTTTATTGCATATACTGGGCCTTGTTGCTTCTGCAGTTTTGATTTCACCATATCGTTTTCTCTACGCCTTATTTTTTTATTTTTGTTGCTTATACTGTCTCTTTCGCGTTGTTTTCATTGTACCTTTTTTTTTGGTAGGTTTACGGTCTCTTTTGTTTCGCTTTCTTGCTTTTTTTGGTCGCTTTCTTGCTTTTATTGTGTCACTTTCACCGTGATTTCTTTTTCTTGCTTTTACTGTTTCTTTTATATTGATTTCACTTTTTCTTTTTTGTCATATATAGCCTTTAAATTATATTTTCTTCCAGGTTTTTTTTTTCTGATTTGCCTTTTTTTTTCAGTTTGCCTTTCTTTCTAAACTATTTTTTTTTTCTAAACTAACTTCTTTATCTGGTATTTTTCTCTGTGTTGCCTTTTTTTAATACCTCTTTTTTTCCTGAGTCACATGTTTTATAAATTGTCATCACTTCTATTTCTGTTACTATTTTTTTGTAGGTTTCTTTTTATAAGTTAATATTCTCTTAAGCACCTCACTGTTAGCTATGGATAACTTGGATTTCTTCGATGTTGATAATGATTTTGGCATGAATAATAATCAGAGTTTTATGAGTGTCAACATAAACTATAATGAAAGTTTTATGAGTGTCGATATGAACGATAACAAAATCTCTTGAGATTTTTACAATGATGAAGGGATGGATGATAACAATGAATCAGAATTAGGTAATCATGAAGAACATGAAAAAAATACAAGATTTGCCTATCCGTTAGTCAAAAGTTAGATTTTCGAGTCTTGAAAAGCTGTTGACAAGTGTGTTTATGTTAAAAAAAAAGATCCATTTGAATTTACCGTTTTTTTAAAGAATAATCATTATTTTTCTTATATAATCTCAATAGCTAGTTAGAACGTCATAGTCAGGAATTGGGCTTTGCATTTAGTATTACACACAGTAAAATGACAAATCTGATGAGACATCTCGGCAGCATGTCTATACGTGTACAAAAGAACAAAGATATGTGCTATATAAAGAAGCACATATACTTGATGAGAGGGATCAGAGTCATAAAACCATAGGTTGTTCCTTTCATGTAAATCTATATTGGTAGAAAAATGATAACCAAATCCGTATTTCAAGTATTGTTGGTACACATAATCATGATATGATTCAAAATATTACTATGGTTAAATTAAGGTATAGAAGATTAACAGAGATGCAGAATGATATTAGATTGCTCGCGTCTTAAGGCATTAGAGCCAGTTTAATTATCGAGGTTCTATAACAAAAAAACCTTGGAAAATACATTCATGCTCATAATGTATATAACATGATACAGATAATCCATTATGAAAGTCGTGTTGCAGGTGATACAGGCAACACATACTTGGAATTGATTAAAAAACAACATAATGATCCTGGTTATTTTGTTGAAACAAAGTTTGAAGAGAAAAATAATCATTTAGTTGCTCTTATATGGATGACACCCAGTTAAATACAATTGTAGGGTAGATTTCATGACATGGTTCTCATGGATACAATATTTAAAACAAACTATTATTCTATGATGTTTTGTGTCTTAATAGTTATTAACAATCACAACCATTCATATCTAGTAGCAACCGCAGTTATTTCAGATAAGATAACAGAAACATTCTTATGGATTTTAGAAAACTTGCTCAAGGCAACAAATAGTTTAGCACCAAAAGTACTATTTACGGACACTGATTGTGCTATGGTTGCTGCTGTAAACGCAACATTACTAACTACAAAACATCATTTTTGTCTTTTTTATATATGAAAAAATCTTGAAAAACGTTTTCTGAGTATGTATAAGGCTGAAAAGTGGAGAGAATTTTTTAGAGAATTTTGCCATACATGAAATAGCCATGTGGAATCTATATTTGAGAAACATTAGAGAGATCTAATACAAAAGTATCCTGAATTGGCATTATATATAGAATGACAGCTTTATCCCTGCTGGGAAGCATGGGTGCTCTGTTTTACATATAGGTTATTTAATGCCAGTGTACAAACTACTCAGCAGGTTGAATCATACAACGGTATTATAAAAAAACATGTCAATGGCTCTTCATCTCTATTTGAATTGAGTAACACAATTGAGAAGTTATTTATTAAAGAGGATAGGTATCAACATTTTAATGAGGTTAAAGGTGTACTGCTAGTGATTCATAATAAGAATTATTATGATAGATATTTTAAGTTGGTTGATGAGTCATGTCAAAAATTTTTGATAGTAGCAATTCTTAAAATTCAGCGTTGTGAAATGAACTGCAATATCTATTATCGAGCACAGCTAGTCGATTTGGTAGATGAATTTTAATGTTAGGTATATTTTATATGTTAACATAGTTTTTACTGCAAGTTCTCATTAATAGTATAGGAAAGGTTTATTTGTATTTGTTTTGTATTACTTTGTGTGAATAAATAATTAAATTATTACCCACAATTACATTCGAATAGAATTTGTTAGATTAAAACTGTTTTTTTTTTTTTTTAAATAACTAATGAAGTATCAACTGGAATGTTCACTGACAATATGTTTGATGCATTTGTCATTGAACTAGAAGAACTACTTAGTGACTTAGACTATGAATGTATTCATGAAATTTGGAAAGTTTCATCTATTGATGCAAAGAGCCAGCATTTTGTAGTTTTATATGATGAGGCAATGCATCTTTGCACCTGTTTGATACTAATTAATCATGGAGTTGTTTGCCGGCACTTTTTCATAGTGATGCTAGTATCAAAAGTTGCAAAATTTTATATTGGGCTCATATCTAATAGATGGTTTTTGGACAAGATAGTGTATGAAAAAGAGATAGATGTTGCAAATCAGCTAGCGATTTTGGCAATATATGATAATAATTTTGGATCGTTTAAACATCATATTCATGTCAATTTTGAGTATATTGAAAAAATTCGTAGGAGTCATGTTTTTACCAATAAGGTTTGCAAAGAAATGTTATTTAAGCAATGATGGGGCAAAGAATTTGACATTATGAAAAAGGTGTTCGATTTATTAATTGCAATGGAGCAGTATGAAGAGTTATATGAAATGCACCTTGATATAATGAAAGAAATAGAAATGGGACTCAAGACAGACAATAATCATGATAATTTTGTAACTACGATTAATAATCCTGTTGGCATTCATTCCAAAGGTCGAAAATGAAAGAATGCAAATTTGGATATACTTAAGTCAAAAACAGGCAACACAATTTAGATAAATCATAATGATACATTGAATATGTATAGAAAGCAATTGCAAGAGATTACAAACTAAGAAAGTCAAGAAAGCTGATCTCATCATTGTGATACTTGTAGCCAAATAGGGCACAATACATGTACATGCAATTTGGATGGTTCAATTAATCAGATGGACAGTATGCAGAGGAATTATGTTGAGAGTTCAAGTTTATCAAGCATGAGTAAGTTAAAAATTTACATTATTCAAGAAGAGAATAGTAATATTAATGCCAATTATTATATATCACAGCTGACAAGGATCTTAATTATGAGAATACATTGCGTTATTGTAGAATATATGGTCAAAGTAGCCACAATGCTTGTACATGCAATTCAGATAGTAAAAACAAACCGAGCAATAATATAGTTGGAAGGTTATTAGTTAGAATTTTAGTTCTAAAAGTATATTTTGAGGAGTTGTATACAATAGAATTTAAGATATTAAAACATGTTGCCCATTCGATTTCTGATAAATTTTTGAAGATTTTAAGTAAAGACCATGAATAGAGTTCCTGTATAGTGAATATATTTTTGATAAAGGTTTATGCTTTAAAAGGAATTAGGTAGTCTTTTTATAAAAAGTGGATTGGTAAGTTGATGTAGTTATGAGATATTTTCAAGATAGTTTTGTTAGAGCCTCGTTTAGCAAGCAGATCTGCTTAGTTTTGGTGTGCATTAGAGTATGATTTAATTTTATGAAGAGTAAAAGTAATATTCTTAGTACATTTAATTTCATGAATAATAAGTATAATATCCCAATTTTGATTTTATATAGACTTGGAGTTATATATTTGTTTTAGATTCTTGATTGCAGTGTTGTTGTCTATGTGAATGTTTATGTGAGTATTATTTGATATTACAAGAAGGAGAGAGATAATTGCTTTAAGCTCAATTGGTGTTGTATCTGGATAAGAGATAGTGGCTGCATTAAATTTAATAGATATGTTGTTTTTACAAACCCAGCCTATATCAGCTTTGATGTTTGGTGATTGTAGATTTTGAACTGATGCATCAGTATAAAAGTGAAGATCATGAGAGTTAAGGTTTTGAATAAGTAAAAAAAGATTTGTAAGTTGTTGTTGGTAAGTTATTGAGCTAACTAAATGTTATATTAGTTGAATTTCCTGTGTAAGTATGCTAATTTGAGAAATTATTTGAGGAGGGTATATATTTTTATTGATATTGACTATATTAATTAGAGACAAAATTTCTTTGTAGTCGATCTGAATAAAAAGTGGGTTGTTTAATTTGTTTGTTATATTATAGGGAAGATTAAATGAAGACAATGTGTAAAAAGAAGATGGGTCAGTTGGTAGTAATTGTGTATATCCAGTATTGATAGTAATTAGTTTAAATGTTGTAATTGTGAATGTGGTGATTGATAAGTAAAAAAGAGATCATTGTGGCTGTTAATATGTAGATATTGAATTGTAGAAGAATTAGAGAAGAATAGCAGAGAGATAAGATTAGTTGTATTAATAAAGAAGTTAATCAAGAGTAGCTGCAAGGAGGGCCATGTTAATGTAATTGTATTATTTTGTATTAATTAGAGGATGTTAGTAAACTATAAGGGTTGGCATCTAGTAGATTTATTTGTGCGTAAGTAAATATTATTCTATGGTAGAATAAATTTATTATTTGCAGTTGTTATTTGTTTAATAAAAAGTAGATGATTGTTTCTCAAACTATTAATTGTAGAAGTATATAGGCTTTGGAGGAAGTATATTATAAATTAAAGGGATATTAAGAAGAGAATCTGGGTAATGTGAGTTTAGAGAGAGAGTAGATAGTGTAATATTATTTAATACTAATTAAGAGAGTTGAAAGATGAGAGTGAAGTTTTTGACTTTGCATTTAATTTTAAAAATTTTAAATCTTTTAAAAAGTTAATTTTTAATCTTTTTAATTTACTAAATTTTGATTGGTTAAATTTTCTATAATTTGATTGGTTATTAATACAAAAGATGTATTAATAAAAAAATAATTATATAAATTTATATTATTAATAACTAAAAGTTACTAAAATTATAAGCTAAAATATAATTTAAATTATTGTTTTAAAATTATAAATATATTTTTTATATAAAATAAAAAAATAGGTCATTAATTTTTTTGCTATATATTCTATTTTGGGTTGTTTATATAAAAATACAATATTTTTAAACTCTAATAACTCAATAACAAATAATTATTTTTTAAAGCCAAAGCCACTATTTTGTAGTAAATTATCTTAGCTACAAAATAGTAGCTTCTGTTTTTTTATATTATTTTTGTAGTATAAGCTATTAGCTTTTAAAAATTAGCTATTTTTATTGTCATTTCCAAGTGTTCTGCACTGTATTAATTAGTAAAATTTTGAGTAATCTTGTATTTTGCATAATTTTACTAATAAAACTATTCAAAATACTAGATTACTCAAAATTTTACTAATAAAACTATTCAAAATACTAGATTACTCAAAATTTTACTAATTAATAGTGCTTTTATATAATAAGTAAACTTGTTTAGCACATAAAAATATATTATAATAGTATATTTAATTTTATAATTCTTTATTTTTTAAGAGATGTTTAATTTTGAAAATTTTGATCAAAATTTTAAAAATTAAGCATCTTTTCTTCAAAATAAAGAAAGATAAAATTAAATATACAATTATAATATATTTTAGTTGCTAAATAAGTTTACTTATAATACTTTTTTTTTTTTTTTTTTTTTTTATATCTTTGCAATATCGCGGTATGGTAGATTTTTATTAGGTATTTTAGTAGTACATTCTTAGTTAGCGAGAGTATATATAGCCACACATGCAACTTTTGGTCACCTAATTTAAGTAGTCTGCCTGAAGGTTCTATACTATATGCCATACCTATAACCTAACTAGGAGATTATCTATTTAAACCCTCTGATGTCCCCAGTCCTGCACCACTACTACAATCACACCGATCCATAACCTCATGCTGCTTTTTATTGAAGGCCATCCAGATCGACATCTGCTATACTACTTATACCCTAATTCTATAGATAACTCAGTAGGGTTCTCATATTACTGAGTTGTCTTAGGGAGGGTGTAGTACATACCCCTAATCTTTCTATGTGCTATGCACTTTCAGATTAGGCTATGAATATCTTCTGCAGCAGCTGAAATCACCACTAGCAGTTAGGGCGAACTATTAAACCACACAATTCTAGTATTCAGTATCCTTGCAAGGTTCATTCTGATCCTGATATCCATATCAAGCTGGTCCTTATACCGATCCCTCATTAACTACCAAATCAGTTAGCCCAGACAGGTTGTTGTATCTAGGCTTTAAGTGCTTTCCAGTTTTACTTCCCTTGGTTTCTAATTCCGTAGTATAGAACCTTTTCCTCTGATGCAACTCCAGCGGGCAGGTTGGTAGACCCTTCTTGCCCCAGGGTTTTCGTCCGGTTCTTCAGTTTCCGGTTTTTGACTTTTTCTGTAGTATCATTAAAGATCTTCATTACCTCCTTACTTGGGTCTTGCCAAATAGGTTTCAATTATTCCAGTTCCTTAAATCTGGATTACCCAAAAGCTTCTATTTTGAGATAGTAGTACCAAGATTACAGGTAATATACCCAACTGATTGTCGAATAATTGTTACCAGAACACAGGCCTATTTTTCTAAAAATGTCTCTGGTGGGATTCAAACTCTAGACCTGCCACTTGGAGGGTGATAACTTAACTACTACTCTAAGTCACCACACCCTTACTTATAATACTAAAGTATTATTAATTAGTAAAACTTTGAGTAATTTAGTATTTTAACTTATTTTATTAGTAAAATTATAAAAAAGTTAGAAAAGTGGTAATATTTTTTTATTTTACTTGCTTTTTAAAATTAGTGAAAAATAATATTATAATAAAATTATCAAAAAATAAGCTTAAAATCATTATAAAATTTATAAATCTTTTTTTTATAGTAAAATAATCTTATAAGCAAAAATTTATTGAATTAATATCTTTAAGATCATCTTAACTCTATAGAAAATTTTTAGCTAGTTTCTGTAAAGTAGATTTATTTGTCTAGCAGGTCGCTTGTAAGTTTTCTTAGAAGTAACTGTGAAATATCAGGTCTAAATATTAAGCTTAAAGTATCTTATACAGTCTGTGACAAGACAATCTTAATAAAGGATCACTGGCAAGACTGCCAAAGTTGAAAAAAAATAACAAACTTGCAATCTATTGTTATAGAAGACTTTAATACAGAAAATAATATAGATTTAGCATCTATTAAATACATATTACTTCAATTTCTGCAATATAACAATATGTATGATTTAGTTACTTCACCTAGTCTTTTATAGTTATATGGCAAAGTAATAGATATGAAAGCAGTATTGCCTACATATAGGCTAACTATCTAATTCTTCAATACTTAACCTTTTTTTATATTAACAACCCAAAAACTGGTACAGAAAGTGATCACAAGAGTTTAATATCTTTATAGTTATTTCTATATGCATTTACTGATAGCAACCTAAACCTGTAAAAGAGTATTCTTATATAAAAATATGAGTCAAAAACTATAGCAAATTTATACAGACCAGATTTCATCAAATCTTCAAATAAATTATATACTAATCACTCGAATGCACTTGGCACAAAATTTAAAACAGTGATATCTCCACAGCACTCTAGCATATTCTTAATAAAAAGTTTACAGTTTGCAACTTTTAATATATTTTTTTCTTTAAAGCATCCTATCTACATTGTCATCTTAAGAAATTAAGAAATATTATTCATTTTATCAAAGCCTCTTTAAGGAATCTTATACCAATACCTACTCATCTCAATGCTACCATTGATACAATTAACTTAGCACATCAACTAAATATCGAACATATCCCAAATGAATACAATCTCTTAACAAACTGGATTGCTAATAGCAATACTAAATGGAAAGTGTTGTACCTGCACACAATATCAAAAATATTAAAAAATTTCATTATCAAATTCAGAACAGTATTACCAAAAAATGTGATAAACTACAATTAAATCCAAAAGCTATGATTAACAGTATTCTTAATTATCATAAAGATCTTGTCAAATTGGATAATATTAAAATTG